ATTAACCACTGCGGATCCAGCACGACCAAACCATCTGGATTTTCTGCGAGATCTTGGTAGATAACTCTTCCGCGAGCTTGTAAAAAGTGAAGCAATTCTTCGACGTCATCTGGGCCATTAAACTGGCAAATGCCCCCAGAAATGTCTTCTGCAAAACGCTTCTTTCCAATATAATGCATTCCTTTCTCTTTCACCATTTCGTCGACTTTTTGTTCCACACGGAGCCATTGCATAGGGATTACCTTGTTAATATGTGGCATTTTTTTAGCCAGATTCAATAATGCAACACGCAAAGAAACGATCTGTGGATCGTCTTCTCTGTTTGGATTTGTGTTATCCATGAAGAATACTTCTTTTGAAATATGGCCTAAGGTTGCTGGATGAGCCACGCTGGAAATGATTTCCTTCACAGATTCCATTTCCTTGCAAGGATCCTTTACACCATCAGCATGTGTACCCACGAGCACCACTGGAGGCAAAGCTTGGTTAGTATCTGCCGACTTTCTTTGAAGCTCTGGCTGTCCCAAAGAGTGCACCAAGTCCAGCCATCTCATCATGTGATCGAGATTAGTGTCCTCGACGTAAGGCGAGTTTACCTCTATTTCATCTTGATTAAGTGGTCTTATCCGACATTGGGCAGGAGCACTTAACTCCTTCGTAAGATCTAACACTAGGACATATATGGCTTCTTGCGACAGGAAAATTGGATGAATGGCATGGTATACTGCCTGGCCGGCAAAATCCCAAACAAAAGGCCATATATCCTCATTGTCGGAGGTGTCGTTTCCCTTAAGGCCACGCTCTACGAGGGAAAGGACTTTCTTGGGTACTTCTTCTGGTTTTCCCTCAATTTTGACTCCCTGGAAAACTAATATTGATATTTTTTAATCAGTTTTTACGTTTCCTAAATACGCTATTCAAGTGCAAACAACACACCGAAGCTATGACCCAGGACCGGTTGTTCAAAGCAATAGCAATGCGATTGACTGAATTTGCACTTCGTGTAGAAGAACTAAAATATTTGTAAAAACTTCGCGTCACTTTAGCAACCTGTGCAAAAAAAGAAACTTGTAATATAGCATGGTTTCACGCGAGCGTATGGGTAGAAACTTTACGGGCTTTACACATCCAAAATAATATGTTTACGTTACAGAGCTGGCGCAATGGAAAATACTTATCCCTACAAGTGAAAGGTCGAGGAATCGACTCCAGGCGCTGGCAAGATCTATTTTTTCTCGTCTTTCTTTTTCTCTTATATTTCCCTATTTTTTAAATTGTATTCTACCAAAACATACGTTTTTTTTCTTTTCATCCGGAACATCACCTTTTTTTTAGCAGAAATCGGCAAAGCATGGCGTTTGTCTCTCCTTTGTCCACATAGCTCTTACGTTCAAATCGATAAAAATGTCGAAATGCGGAGGTGAGGCACTTACAAAAAAATTAACTAAGCCTGAAAAAAAAAAAAAAAAAAAAAAAAAAAAAAAAAGTATCCAAAGAAACCCGATCAGATTCGATCAACGATGGCCAGTGTCGGAACTAAACCAAGACGAGTCACAAGAGATGTTAAAAGTGTCTCACAATAGTCCCCCATTTTCAAAGCCGCGAGAGGTTTGGCAGAAGGTTTACGGACTTGCAACGCATCATAACGGAGTGCCTACAGCCTTCTTAGAAGGAGGGCAGTGTAGGCACAAAAAGGGGAGGTTTTAATCATACTAGAATACAGTTCATCGATATTGTCTTCTTCGGCGATCGATTATTCAAATTCTGGATTAACAAGGTTTTTAAAAACAATGCCCATACTAAAATGTAAGGCGGCTTGTCGTCCTCGAAAGTATATTTATCCGAGCGCTTCGTATGCGCAAGATTTGTTCAAACCTTGGTTGAGACCTTATGCACGCAGTATTAATTAAAATCAATTTTTCATCCGTCAGTAAAACTTTCTGGTCTCAGATCTTAGCTGTCGTTATTTCTTAGCAGACTGGTAAAATTTTGACCAATTCCAAGCTATCAGTTGAGCTCCATGCAAGAAATTCTAATTGAATATGCAAAAGCCTCATGTGCTAACGGATTTACCCAAAATTGGAAAGAAGATGTGGAAAGGAGTTCTTGAATGATTGATGCAAGGAGTGAATTTTGGGTCATAACAATAACTCGGAAATTCGCTTTCAGCCAATTTCCTAAACGAGTCACTACAGCAACAACGTTTGCATTTGTAAGCCGCTTCGAATAATGGGCACCGTAGATTCAAAGATAAAACACAACTCAACCAAACGAGAAGCCACGTTATAAACAGTCTTTCATTTCCCCACAAGTTTATTGTTATTTTAAATGCTATGCCTTAAAAAAGGCAGAGTGAAGCGTCTCGCTACTGCTCTGCTGAAGTAAGGAATTAGATCGACTTACCAAGAAAGCAGTATTAGCGTATTTGAAATAATTAAGTTCTGGGTAGACTGAATAAAATTCGGCATGACTCCTTAATGAGCAAGCCTTTCCATACCGCTCAACACTTAAGCCGCAAAGTAATAATGTTAGTAGAATGATTCAGAAAAAAGTGTTTAGTTTACATAGTACAGGGCGGGGTTGACAAAAAATTGTTTCCAAAGGGTTGTCAAACATTTTCACAATCAGTCGAAATGTACGGAAAAATTAAAACAGTTTATAAAAATTTTTTCTCCTAAGGAAAATAAAACAAGAGGTAAAAATAGCCGAAATAGAAGCGCTACAGTACTGAAGGGATTTATCACTCGTGATTTTGAAGACAATCTCAAGAAAGTCGTTCAAAGAATGGGCCTCAGTCTCTTGAACGAGAAAAGTTACGGGAGAAACGCATTCAGTTCGTTACTGAACGATCCAAGTCGTAAGACTGTCATTAAACCAAAACAAAAAAATTAACAATCCGTTGCAGTTTTACGTTAGAAATTGCTTTTGCTAAATGGTTGGGGATTGATACTGTAATGTAAGGAGACAAAAACTGCACGGAACATTTTTCCGGCAAGAAACGAAGAATGACTGAGCTAACATTTGTTTGACCATTTACTAAATCTTGACCGGCTACCGTGCTGCCGTTGTTTTTGAGTCTCGAATAACCTCTCTAGTACTTAACAAGTACCTTGAATCTGTAAAGAAGCTAGTCAATGTCAGGGCTATAGTGAGCTTTACCTTACCTTTTCTTTCAATGACTTCTTTTGAAGCAAGGTCGTCATTTGAACGTTCTTGAGTCACTCCCTTTTCTCCTGTAGGTTCGCCTCTCGTCTCCTTTACTTTTCCAGCAAACCCTTGAATCCTTTGTAGTCGTTCTTCAGAGCTGCTGCGTAACTCTTGTGTAACCAATTCTGCACACTTGTGGTCAAGTGCACTCGTTTTTTCAAGCAGGGCTGGATTCCTCCATGCCCCTTTTCCTGCGTTCTTGACAGGGGAAATCATTTCGATCCCATTAGTGCTGGCTTCATCTTTAACAAATGCTTCACCTCTGAGGTATCTTCTCAGGCTTGTTTTGCCTACACGGTCCTGACCAATCAACACAATTTTGGTACGTCTATCGAAAGTTTTGCCTGTCTCCAGTGCTCTCCTGTATGCCTCTAGTGCCACTGGTCCCCTCACCTTTATGTAGTCGGGGATTGGAAATGTGACTGCACACAAAACTTTTAAAGAAAAAACCAATTAATTTATTCCCTCGAAAATCTACAACACATACAGAATTCATGTTCAGTGAGAACATCAAAGCAATCTCATATTGAGACTGTGAAAGGCCTATTTTTACGAGGACCTCAAGAAAATATTTCTCCGTAATCTTTCTTGGGACTTTAACTGCTAGGCTGGATTTTAAAATGGTTTTCGGAGGAGTGTTTTCTACAATCCCGCTCCAAAGCACACTCCTCCTGAAACCATATAAAGATCCAGCGATATAAAGATTCCCCACACCAAAAAAAACATAACTCGACTTGGGTCTTCCATAAGTGTGCATGGAGACTAAATTTCTTCCCAACTCGAATTTGCCCCAACGAAACATTAAGTATTGTCTGGAAGTGGGGAATTTGCTAAGGGTTAGGGTTAGGGTCTAGGGAAAATTAGAGAGCCTGGAGAGAAAGTCTTCCGCAGAAGAAGAATACTGACAACAAACTCAACCCACAAATGACAACGGGTCCGGTTTAACGATAAAAAGAAATGGTAAAATATATATATATGTAAACAAAACAAAAAGAAAAAGTCTTCAATCCACGCCAGCTTCTACTCTTTAATGTAAACAAAACACACACAAAAAAAAGCCTTCAATCCACACCAGCCTCTACTCTTTAGCAAAAGGAAAGACTTTCTATCGTAACCTTTATCATTACCTTCTTTCTCCAAGTCAGATAATTCTCTTGGAAGGACAGTGCTCCCTCGAAATATCACCAGTCTCCTCTCCGGCTGTTCCAACCCGTAAAGGAGAGCATCTATTCCTAACAGGAGTTTATTATAGGATTACACTTACTAATCTTAAAAAATGCGAGTCAAATGCAACCATTTCAAAAGGCGTAGCTTTTGGATTTTAATGCACTAATCAATTCGAAGCTGCAACATGCCCCAGTGCAAGCTAAGGGCATTTTACTGTCGCCTAGAAAGGGGAGATGAGGGGTGGTGGGAAATTGGAACCTTGCGTGGCTGAAGTGGGGAATTTGCTTAGGGTTAGGGTTAGGGTTTAGGGAAAATTAGAGAGCTTGGAGAGAAAGTCTTCCGGAGAAGACGAATACTAACAACAAACTCAACCCACAAATGACAACGGGTCCGGATTCGAAACCAAAACGCAGAGGTGGGAAAACAACGTTCTTAATACTGCACCATCCAAGTTCTTCTGAAATACAGGTTCGTGCATTGTTCTCCCTGATCGGTAGAAATTATTTATTGGTCACCGAACTTGAATTTTATCTCTGCCATTTAGATTAAACATTTATTACAGTTTTAGTGAACCTTTTCGCCTTGATGAGAGGTAAATATACGTTTCTCATCATGTAACTCATGCTGAAGTACTCTAGTACTCTTTGAGCAAACTATAAATTCGAAATTATGCTGAAAGGCCTCGCTTTCAGTCACCACTTCTGTCATGGGTATTCATCATGCGCATCAAGAAATGGTCGCTTATTCCGCCCCATTTCCCGCGCCGTACTAAAGTCATTTCGCTACTGGTAGCGCTTGGGAACTTTTGCCAAATCTAGGCGAAAAAATTTCGTGAACTTTAACTTGGCGGGACCTGGATGAAACGGTTCATTGCAATGGGATGGCGGGTCGGGATGAAAATTAGCGGCGGGTGCGGTATGTTTTGGGCTCTCTAGCTCTTTTCTTCAAGCAGAAAAAGCCTGGAGACGAGTCATTGGTCCAGATTAACAGTTACGGACGGGCGTGTTAGCCTCATTAGACCCTTGCACATAATTAAGTCCAACAGAGAAAGAAGAGTGAATGTCAAGGTAGGTTGTCTCCGACGAAACTTGTACTTTA